CGGTGCGCTGCCGCCGCACAGATGCCGCTCGCCGGCGCTGGCCTCGGTCCGTGCCGTGCCCCAGCCCCACGCGTGTGCCTCCCTCAGCTTTTGGAAGTGTTTTCAGGATTCTTAGAGCGCTTTCCCTCCGCCCGTAAGAAAACGGTTTGCATTGCAACGTCCTCGCAAATCTTGGGGGACACACCCCCCAAACCAAACAACGAAACACACCAAAACTCTCCCAACTGTGAAATGCTACGTCGATTTTGCACAGTGGATGTGTTTGCATTCTGTTTGTAGCCACTGCAAATTCCGTCCCCGTGCTGCTTGGCTTACTCTGCTCCCCCTGCTAACTTGGCTTAGCTTTGATGGAGAAAATCTGAATTGGCAATACCAAAATTTGCGACCATCCTTTCTGAAGCTCTCCTGAGAGCGGATGCAGGAGGGGATGGTGAGGTGTGTACGTAGACGTATATATGGTGTCTCAGCCATAGGAGCCTGCTTCTCATGCAAAATAAAACCAATAATACTCGGAGATACAGGTGTATACAAATACATTCTGCCGCGGGAATGATAAGAGCCGGACTACCGCTCTGTTTTCAACCCCTCCATCATTAACACTGTTACATCTCCTTCCAGTAATTCATCAGCTGTTCATGTGTCTGAAGACAAGTGGAAGAGTGGAGTATATTCTTCAAGGTACTGGTCGTGATATTGCAAATCTCGACAACTGCACTTTTTACAAATCAGATCTTTTTAGATAACTAGAATCAACTCTGTTTTCTCTCTTCTTTATTCAGTAATTGTACCTTTCAGATACCATCTTCAAAGGGGCATCGTACGTAGGCAGGATAAAAAATATCTGGTTTTATGTGCGAAGAATATGGTGTAAGAATAGACTTTTCCTTGGGAAATTAAAGATGTGTTGGAAGAAAGATCAGCCTTGCTTAATGCCCCGATGGGTGAGTGCACTAAGGTTTTTCAGCCTTCTTTTGTCCTCTTGCTCATTTTGTTAATTGACCAAAAGAGGTCGCAAGTTGTCCAGGATTGAATTAGACTCGATAAATCTGTGCGAGCCCATCTACAAAGGAGGAATTGATCAGGCACAATATACTGCATGTTTGGTTTCAGGATTGGGTTTTGGTTTGGGTTTTTTTGAGACTATTGCAGGAAAGTTTGCTGTTACCTTTTCATTTTACTTTGGTTTTAATAATTTTCTAGGTGATGAAGTCTGAAAATCTTTGGGATTGTATTGGTGTGTATCAGAAGAGCTCAGGTTAGGTCTAGCTGAAAGAGAAGGCCACCTTCCTTTCTGCTCTAGCGCTAACACAGTGGGGTAACACTGTACACTGTATATATACAGGCATCTCCTCACTTGGGGTGAACTTTTATATCATGCTGCTTTCAAAACTGAAACAATAATGCAGGGGAAATGCTGAGAGAAGATAAATAAAATGGGGCAAAGGGAGTTAGGGGATGGAAGGAATGACAGAGAGCAACCCTCTCCCTTCACCACGGTCTTACACCTCTTACACTAGTGTAACATATTTCAAACTGTGGCATGAATGTTTTTATCAAGCTGAAATTTGATTCCCACCATCAGAAAGACCTATTTTTCTTTCTCATCTTTTATAACATTCCCCAAACTTTGTGGTGCACCATTTTGAAGTCCTGTTAATACAGGGAGATATTTGCAATGTCACCAAATTAAAATGATCTCCTGCTTTTTCTTTTTTTTTAAATACACAATTGGTGAACTTAGTATGTAATTTTAAATAGCATAAATCAAGGTTAATAAAACATCAAGGTACTCTGAACAAAAAGCACACCAAGTGGAAAATTAACGCTGTCAAAAATGTGGCTGAATCACTTTTGCAATAAGTGAGTAGAAAGAGAGGCAGTGATGTGTCAAAGATCAGGTCCGCCTAAAAGCTTTTGCTAAACAAATAGCTATTTGCACTGTCTTAATCAATGGGCACTGCATTACAGTGCAATTATATGAATGACAGAATTTGGTTCAAAGCCCTACTTGGCAATCAGAAGACAAATACCAGTGTATCTGGAAAGACAGGTAAGATATCCATAAAGAAAAAAAAAAAATACACCCCCCCCAACACACACCTATAACTAACAGCTGAACTCCAATTACAGACCAAACCTTAGTAATATTGATGGAACAATTCTATGTGGAGAAAGCCAAGGGCTAAATATGCAAAGTAACAGTGTTTATAAAACTGTACCAAATCTGAACTTTCACATTTTACATCTACTAATCTAGAGACTTTGCAATTTTTTTCCTGTTTATTCAGTTTTACTGAGAGAAGAGGGAGAGTCTAAAGTCATGTCGAGTTATACTGAAACTCTACAGTCAGTTCTAGAGGATGGAGAGCAAACAAGGAACAACCAAAAGGCATTGGGCTTCACAGAATCTCATGTCCTCCTCCCACTGCTCTTGAAAGTGTAATTTATGGAAGCACAAAAGGGAGGAACTTTATTTCCCCTTCCACTTTATCCTCCCTCCTCCTTCATATTCAGCTCCCTCTCTCTTCTCTGGTGCATTAGCTGAACTCACACCTTTTGTGTACTTGTTTTTTGGTGGCTGTGTTTGCTACAGGGACTAGACAGGGGAACTAGAGTTGTGGTTGAAGTAGCTCTACTTTCCACTGCATGGTCACATTACATTTTGGAGCAATCCAGACTTTTTAGTGTAATCCCATTGTACTGCATATGATTATACTACCTGAGATTTAACTGTCAAGAATGTGAGTTTTCCTATATAATGCTATTTTAAAACTTGTGTGATTTTGCAACTCTGTTTAAAAAAAAAAATCCCACAGAAATATAGAGATACATAGCTCATTTGGATTGAGGGATAAATCCACATTTGCAAAGCACCCTTTAATGGGTTTTTTTTTTTTTTTTTTTTTTTTTTTTTTTTTTTTTTTTTTTTTTTTCCTTCGCAGAGTTTTAAGTTTTATATACAATAAACTTCTGGAGTCAGCAGAAAGTAGTCTTTCCTCAATATGTTCTTGTTTTCCAGAGGATGAACACTCAGATTTACAATGAAGTCAGTTGATACAATATGTACTTTACACTTAATTTAAATTATACTTTCTAGATCGCTGTTTTCACAAAGGCAAGTATTGAGATCCCAGCATTATTTGTCACCTGTCTGTAAAAATAGTTTGAAGAAACTTCCCTGCAGACCTTCTCCTGGTAGGATGGTAGACATGAACATCTAAGGCGTTTTCCAGCTCCCCCTCTTAAGCCAAGTGTGCAAGTTTACCGATTAGGAAACTACTGGATTCCTCGCAAATTCCACCCTGTGCTGATTTCTCTGAAGATGGCCATCTGAGTTCAGTGTGACAGAACAAACAAGAACTGAGTGTGGAAGCAAATAGAATTAGGAAACCAAAGGAGAACAAGCAAATCCTTTGTTGGGAAGTCAACTGAATGAAGACATTTTACACATTAGTGAAGACTTTTCAGGATATGTCCCTTTCTTTGCTACAATTGCCAGCATGCTATCATAATGAAAGGACATATATTGATGGTATTACAGAAACACTTCACTAGTTGAGATGTCTTGTTAACCATGATAGAAGAAGGAAAGAGAGCTGACAGGTTTCCTATTACAAAGCTTTTATCCAGAGAGGTGTTCATCTCTTTTATGTACTCGTTAGACATTATATAGTGTGTCATGGAAGTAAAAATCTTATGGAATTTAAAGAGAATGGGGATTAGAGGGAGGAGGAAATGAAAAAAAATCTAGGTCTCAGGACTTCTTCATAAGAAGAGACAAGTTTGCTGCTGGACCAGAAGTTCACACCCACACCACATCCAGCAATCTGGGTGTTGTGCAAGTTCAAAAATGCCGGTGTCATAAGAGGTAAAAGGAAAAATGCTTCTGCTTCAAAAGTGTACAGTCAGCTGGAGCTAGATTTACTGACACACTTGAACTTTTGTCCACAAGTGAAAAAAACCCAAACATCCTACCTTAACATCTCAGTGGGTTGTTGAAGTGGAAAGACAAGTGGTGTGGATTACTGGAAGCGGACTGCCACTGAGACTGGTGTGCATGGAGAACTGACCTTCTTTATGTGTATTTGGTTTTGAATGAATACATTAAGTTTTAGGTCATTCTATAAAATAGTGGGTCATGAACATCCCTCATGTTAAGGTGGATTTACATACAATCAGTCAGAAGATAAAAATATAAGAAAGTATGTGAGAAATCAATTTAGCATGAGTTTACTCTTTATTCACCAATCCCACCCCTTCATAACACTATGCTACAGTACAATAATATCTCACTATATTTATAAAGTATTATCTATATTACATGTACTATGGAAAAAAAAGCAGTAAAAAAAGGCCTGCAAATCTAGATGCCTTGTTACCATGTGGCCTTCAGAATATTTCCCAAAGAAAAGAAACTCTTAAGAACTTTGCAGGATATAAGTCGAGCAAAAAAAATACCAAGTGGTAAAATCATCTGTCACAGGCTGGTGTTAGAGTTAAAAGGATATGCTGTGAGTTCTGTTGAGAACTTTCCCCTTACCAAAAGCATGAAGCTTTCTGGGGCAATCTGTGTGCAAAAGAAGATAGATAGTTTAAGTCCATTGTTTTAATTACTCAGTTTAAAACCACACAAGTCTCAACCATTTCCAGCTGAGAATGGCATTTCTAACATCCTATATATTGCCCTAGCCATTGAACAATTGATTGTAAATTTGCAATATTTGTCATACTTCCTCCCCTTGCAACTCTACTTTTTTGTTTTGCTTTATCTTGGATATCAGACTATGCATCTTAGTCTCATGTTGGGCACCATGGGATACCCAAAGCCTCTTTGGCCTCACAGGAGTTAAGGTCCTTTCTTCTGTTGATTACATTGGGCAGGTATCAGGTCTATATGAATGTCTACTGTCATGTATCTCAACCCTCTGGGTGCTAATGCCTAAGGAAGTGATAGGCTAGGATCTTAAAATAACCAATTATTATACACAAACTTTTGCCAGTACCTTGATATGCAGATAGTATCAGGAAAAACATACAATTACCATCAGTTCCCACTCTACTTCATTTTACTCACCTATTGCATTTCTTTGACTAGGATTTTAATCTCTTGACAAACAGCAGTGTTCATACTTTCCATTTTATAAGCAACTCATAATTTTGAGTACCTCTGTTAATTAATTAAATAATTTTGATGTCCATCATGAGAATGCTGACAGAAACTAAGTAATAACTGATTTCTGATCAGCAGACCCCCTTTAAAATGTCTCAGATATCAATTCCAAATCAATGGTCTTTTTTTTCCTTGCCACTGTAGGCCCCTATTTTTAAGAAGACTTCAGAAATAATATTGTTCTCTTGGACATGCAGGGCATACTTTCAACAGAAGATACTAGTTTGTAGATTCTGAAGCTTTAAGCACTTAGTGCTTATTGCACAACATGTGTCTAACAGGCCTCGTTTTCATTCTGAAACTATTTTCTTTACAATGGCATGTAACAAGAGTAGTGCAGAACCATGCACAGAATTACAAAGGAGTAAAGTCAGGGAACAAATATTGTACCTTCCTGTGGGAAAAATAAATTTTCTATACTTACTAGGACTAGTGTAGACACTTTAAAATGTAAGGGAAAGTCTCATGGATAAGAGGTGTTTCACAAGCAAGTTTTGTTTGAAAGATGCTTTGTTGATTGCAAATGTCATTAGTGTGCATTTCAGCCTTTTCCCAAAGCAGAACAGGAGTAACAAAATCAAAGCATCACTGAGTTTAATACTTGCTGGGAAATTTGAATGGCTCCACAACAGAGAAGTATCTCTTGATGACGGAGGACTGGCACAGTGCAGTAGTATCACTATGAGTGATCTGATTCTAAATCCATCAAATATAATAGGAATCTCTGTCCTTTTCGGAGCCATTAGTTAGGGTCTCTAGCTGGAGTGTAGTTTCATGCATGAATTTGGCCACTGGATGTGGAAACTGCAGAAGGGGATCCTCAGATCTACTACAGACAAAAAGGAAGAATCTCCCAGGAACACAACAGAAAACCACTTTCTTTTCTTTCTTTTTAAAAATTTATTTATTTTAAATATAGTTACATTCTCAAGTCTGGGAAGCCATACCTAGAAAGAGAACAGAAATACATATGACGGAGTTGATGACGCATGCTTGTATCCCATGCTGTCTGATGCTTCTTGTTGTTGTTCTGTTTCTTAAAATTACATCTCCCTGAGGGTTAGTCAGAAAATTACTGTGATTTTTTTTAAAAAGGATTGTAAATACGCTGGTTCCAAATTTCAGCATAGCTGTCCTTGCACAAAGCCTATCTTTGCAATTCACAAGAGTGTTGCATGTCTTGTTTTTGGCTCTGAGCTACATACTCTGTCAGTTCTTAGGAGAATCTGGAAAGTCAAATCACAGCATACAAACAAACATTCTGCTTCTTCTGTGTACAGTAGTTTCTCAGAAGGAAAAATGTCACAAATGTTGCTGGAAAGATATATGTACATCTCCTTGTTATATATGCGGGTGTGGCCAGAAAACAAGGGGGCTAAATCAAATCCTGTTCCTGCTGCTGAAGTCATTGGCAGTATTCCTGATGACCTGGGAGCGTTTGGGTCTGAACTAAGGAGTGGCCCTTCGACCCATGTGCATAAAGAGACATTGGGTTTAGTGGACTAGTCCAAAATAC